ATTAAAAATTGTCAATTAAATAATTATAAAACTACATGTTTCTTAAAGGTTTTCACATAAACTATATTTTTGAGGCTGATAATCTTTATAGCGATTTTAATTTATTACAAACGCTAATCACATGAAACTTTAATATATGAAGGTTTCATATATTTATAAGCTTTTTATTATCTATATTGATGTTCTAGTTTCGGGATAAAGTCATGTGAATTATCCAAATTACATGATACTTTCTGCTTATCAAAGCAGATCTCGGGCTAATAGATAACTAAGATCCCGAAACTACCCAGAACATTAATAAATATTATCGTTATAAATGATTAACTTTTTACAGTTAATCCGATTTCGAAATGCTTCATTATTCTTTAAGATGATGCATTGATGATGATTACGATGATAATCATGTAAAAAAATTAAGTCTACTTCACATGTATTAGTCAAAATAAATTTTGTTGGTGCCAACAACAATTTTACCACCTTTAACTGTGAAGTATGCAGATTGAAGATCCGATACCCCTTAAATGTTACAATATTAGTAAACAGGTAGTCAGTTTTTTAAATATTTACAAGTCCGTTTTGGTCAATTTTTTTTCTTCAGAAAATTTTTACATTGGTTCAGTATGTATTTGTTTATTATTTGGTGTTTTGAAATCATCCATAAGGAAGAGATAATTTTAACTTTACAAATAAATTTTCTATTATAGGCTTAATAATGGAAAAAATGAATATTGACCCAAGGCAACTGCCAGAAGAGTTAGAAGTAGATATGTTAAAGGATGACTTATCTACTTTTAATATTAAACCTATTGGAATTCAACTGGTTGATACCATAAATCAATTAAAAATCCAAACACAATCAATCGCTCATATGAAACAGCAGTCTGAATCGACATTAAGCAACAATAAAACAACCACCACAACAAATGGAGAGAAGAAATCTCCTGCACTCTTTTCCATCACAAATCATCTTTATATCTTTACGAATATCTGCAGCTATTTGGAACCCTTAGACTTGGTGTTGCTTCGATTGACTTGCAAGTATTTTAATAATCTCGTCAAGTCACCATTTGACTCTATAACGCAGCAAATCTGGAAAAATTCACGTCTAGCGTCATGTGAATTTTATCAGTTGCCTCCACCTTTGGGAATGTCAGAACAATTATATATTAATATGATATATACCGATAATGGATGTCAGATTTGCGGAGATTTGATAAAGAATGCAAAAATTTATTGGAACTCGCTAATGGTTTCTTGTGCCAGTTGTCTGAATAAGAATGCCATCAGGTAATTTAAATTAGATTTATTTTATCAAGTTATTCACGATTAACTGATAAATATCATGTTCAAATCAAACAGTGAAAAAGCACTTCGAAGTGAATGGGATCTCCCAGAAGCAATAGTAAATGTCTTTATCCCTATTACCCTACAAGATTTGTATGGCGACTATTTACGTTATTATTGGATTCCTTCTGTTAGTCTTACAATTGAGGAATACATTAATCTTGAGCCTGCCGAAGAAAAGAATTGGCTGAAAAGAAAAGAGATCGAGTACCGGTTCGCAATTATGACCAGTCTAGAACGTGAATATTGGGAGAGATGTCGATACATCAAAAAATATCAACCTACGATCACAGAAGTACGAAAAAGAAAACCCATTAAGCATAAAGAAATCGAGAGACCATTGCAACACCAAACATCTCTAGATCATCAAATTCAACAATCAGAAGTTTCACTTTACCCCACGTATTACGAGTGGCTAAAGCAGCTTGATATTTTGCCAATATATGAAAATGAATATAAAGATGCATTGAAAATCGCAACTGTAAACGACGAAATAATAAGACAAAGAATTGAACAGGCCAAATATGGGAAAAGCAGCAATTCCACTACTATTCCACTTGCAGATACTATCATTGAAGGTAATTTTGTGTCTCAACGAGCGAACAAAAATGTTGAAACAAATCATCCTAAAAAATACACTAATAATTCACAACAACAGCCGAGATTTAGAAACGCTGGATACGCATTACGTGCTCGAGCCACGAAATTATCATCATCATCTTCATCTTTGAATGTTTGACAAAATATTATAATTGTAAAATTAATTTCTTTAGTCGGCGGTAGAAATAACATCGTAAATATTTTTAATTTTCATTTCAATTCTTTTAGGTGACTTTCAATTTAAAATATAAAAATTTTCTATGATGTAATTTTGTTGTCTAATCAATTTCTCCTGGAGATATAAAAAATACCTTTTTAGATTACTTGTCTAATAAGTTTTTGGATGTATACAAAAGTTTCAAGATCTAACCATATAACAAAAAATTGATCGAAAAATGTAAATTAGTCAGATTTGAAAATTCTTTATTAGTAATAAAGTATGTACTTACTCAATGATCATGAAAACTTAACATTAAGACGCATGTTTAGAATGCTAAAAAGCTGTTTTAAAAGATTCTAAGTTGAAAAAAGTTGACTGGTTCAATAGAATAGTTTTTATGATAAAGTTCAATTATTCTTATGTTTCTTTCCACGTAGTTTATATGTACGATAATACTTTAGTTTTCTATCTTTTAAACAGCATTCGGCAATAATCTTAGATCCCCAAGTGAAAATTTGAATTGTACCCCAGATATATTACATAGTGAAGTAGATATCATTTGGAAGATCAGGTGTAAAAAGAATACTTTTTATGAGTTAAATGTTATATGTTGCAATATGTATTTTAAAACTAATAGAACTTTATTAGGTACTGTATATGATTAATAAAGTGATGTTATTACTTAAATCCATAGCTGAATATGTCATATCCGAATCATACATTTATTAATATACATGTATAAAGTAATATATTCCGTATTTTGCACAGTAAATAAGGTACATGTAATATTAATTAACTTTCAACATTAGTATGCATAGCATGCATGCTGGTCAATATTGATGCAAATTACATGTATCATGCTTATATTAGTACCACAAGAGCATTATGAAAAATTTTGTTGATACATGTATATGCTTAAGTTTCTTTGTTAAAAGAATATAATAATGCGTATGTAGCATTAAATTTAGTAAAAAATCAGTTACAAATATCTTAATTCGTTCGTTGATGTTCAAAAATAAAATATCAAATAAAATCTTAACAAACCATTTTCAGTATTAGGCGTTTGGTAAAATGGTTTGAATATAATATACATGCATGTGTAAAATACGTATTCATTGATTGTAGCTATCAAATGGTGAAATGTCCAAAAGTTTTGCTATAGTTTTAGAAACTTTTCAAATAAAAGAAATTACATTAGCTTCAAATTCAGCATTACCTCTGAACATTTATTTTACGTTTTGAAAAGCATTAAGTAACCCACATAATTTGCTTGATATTATAAGAAACCGATATATGTGTTCGAATTTACGCATTAGAACATGAATCTAAAAATCGTGCAAAAAGAACTGTAAAGAAAAGTTCTTTAATATCTGTAATATAATATTTATTTTCTTATTCACATTATAAATGGTGAAGATTTATTTTATGGCTATCAAGACAATTTTACTTTTATTTTGTCATTTTTAATCATTATGCAGCAATTAATTTTGTAGCATTTGAGCAGAGTACGAGAAAATTAGTTTCAAGCATCGCAAAAAAGAGGGTACAACTTGAAAAATATGGTACACGTATTTTATCAATCACTAATCACTTATGCACATAGTTACGTGTGTTTGTTTCACTAATGATCGACGTACGATATTGAGTTAGACTGTAAAGACTTACTTTAATAAAGAGAGCCGAAGCCATGTACCAATATCGTCTGTGCAAAGGTTAGTGTTTCTTATAGCTTTTAAAAATAAAAGAACCAACCGTTTTCAAAAACTACTAATAAAAATAACTAAAATTGATCATTCAAAAAGAATAATTCCAAAAGAATAACGCAATTTTCAAAGGTAATGATATAATTGTTCCAGACTCATAACAAGACTATTACTAAACAAAATCAAGCTCAAACTTTCTAGGCCAAAGAATAAATCCATTTGTTCACAAGGTTTGAATTTACATAATCAAAAGAATGAGGTTTTATTATACTGCACCAAACAATATCTTTTATTTCGTTAAAAGAACAAGTTCGTATATACATCTTGATTCTGACTGAACACTACTCGAAATTACAAGATTAGAATTCTGTGAGAAACACTATAAGGGCTAAAAAGAAGATTATCACGAATAATAATAAGATTTGTACAATCTATGTTTTTATGGTTGGACATAAAAATCCTAATTAACCTGGCTATATTATGTATATTAATTAGAAAATGTTAGATAACCATAAATAATCAAAAGCTAAACAATGAAGTGGCGTATATGGCTAATTACGCGTTAAATAATTAAGGAATTACATTTAACGAATTTTATTCCGTTGTGGTAACAATATACGCATTCTCTTACTTATGTTTTGATGATGTCTTGAAAGAGGATTACCGATTAGCTGCTAAATTAGGCCCTGATTATATATAATTACAAAATTTCTAAAAAGTTTTTCCAATATTATTTTTAAAATATTTCAAAATTGCAAGATATGTCTTTAGAATAAAAGTTTTTATTTGATTGATATTTTTCATATTTTTGCAAACATAACATAAAAATTTTTTCATTAATATGACCCTAACCAATTTTATTGCAGGAACCTGATCCAGTTCACTTGGACAAAACAGGTTTTTACGGCTCACCAAGTCATCAGAAAATATATGTAATACATCCATGTGATAAATGTGCTGCTGATCCCTGTCGCTACATCTAATATGTATTTGTGGAAGATCCATTTTTCCATTTTTTATTGCCATTGCCTTTTTTGAAATTTTAGATTCATTAAACTCGCCTGATTATTATGTTGAGATTAATTCAATAACGATAATTGCGGAGATATACCTAAATTCAGATATTGCAAAAAAAATATGTTAAAAATATAACGATAACTTAAAACACAACCGACGATGACGTTAACATCAATTTAGCACAAAATGATTAGAGATTTTAAATGTGTGCTAATCTGAAATCTATATATAAAACTTTGTCTTTGTAATAAAAACAAAATAAAAACACAGGTACTAGCTGATTGGAGTGAATTACTGAGCCAATTTCAACGAAATAAATATCAGAATGTTCAACTCAATTAAATGAGTAGAATGAGTCTAAACAATGAAATCTGATCACAGGCTGGCGAGTCAAAAAAATCTTATAATCGGTTAATAAAATGAATTTAATATATTCGTGTATCTTATATACATGTACAGAGGATGGCAAAAAATTAGGACGTTCCTAAAAATTTACTAATAAAACATATATTGAAAGGTTTTTCTTTATATAAAACTTTTTAATCTTATCAATAGTTTTTTATATCAGAGTAAGGCAAGAACCCATATGTTAAAATATAGGTTTTTGCCTTACTCTGATATAAAAAACTATTAATAAGATTAAAAAGTTTTATATAAAGAAAAACCTTTCAATATATGTTTTATTAGTAAATTTTTAGGAACGTCCTAATTTTTGTCAACCCTCTATGCATGATAATTCTTAAATAGTACTTGTACATGTATGTTTACTACAAAATAACGATAATAAACGACCTCTGATCTTTTAATAAAATCTTCTAAGACCGGCATTATTTCCGATTTCAGTGATTTCAGAGATTTCATTGATGAAAAATTTTGCAATAAGATACTATATACTTTACGTTGTACGCTGCATAATGTGGTAGATAATTTACTTTCCTATATAACTCCTGATGAATTTCAAAGTTGAAACCAATGTCAGTCAATAAGAGAAACTTCAATAACATTAATTTGGCGAATTATATTGCATATAAATATGTGCAATCTGAATAAAACCAGTTAAATACGCTTGGCAAATTTTAAGAATATGTGATTTCAAAAGAGCACAGTTATCCGTGTAGCATTCTTATGCACGGTTCTAATGCCTGACATACTGTAAAGTTTCACGGACCCTGTTTTGAATTTGTGTGCAACACATGATTTTGCGAATGATTATATACTGTAGTCGTTACAGTATCAGGTTTTAAGAATAAGTAAACTCATAATCAAGTTGAGGGAAAAAGATGTAGCAAGAAAAGGTTTGAAATAGCAATTTCATAATCATTCTGCAGTCAGGACAAGAACTCTCTTCTTGAAGTTAATGCTACAATACATTCACATATGATTGCATTAATCGAAAATATATGCTTTATAAGCAATGTGTTTTACTTGTACAGCCACAGGTATTTAGTAATGCCAATATAGAAGATTGAGCATCATCATGTTGCTGAGTTGGTTTCTATCCGACTGCAGTTGATTTCTATCTACATGTATGTACATGACATTTAACACTTGCATATTTTACTTTTTTGCTATCAATTTGATATGCTCTCTCGTTTGCGTTTTTTTTATTTCCATATCTGACAGATTTATTACGCCAATTAACTATTCCTGCATAAGCAAAATTTGGGCGAAAAAATTTTAAGCATAATGTGTGTAAGCGAAATGTTATAGATTTACAGTGAATCATAATGCAGATTTTATTAAGCTTACTCCAAGCTATATGTAACACCCAAAAAGGCCCAAATTTCATATTGATTTTTCAAAATGTCGAAAGTCATTATGGTGTAAATGGTTTATTACATGATTATTTATTATTGTTATCGCTATTGTACATGCTCAACTTTCAATCAACTTTGACCCTCAGTTGAGTCATTAGCCTCCTTAATAAAACGTATCGTTAGGTAGAGTTAATGTACATACGTTACGTAATTTCAACTACGAAAGATTGGATTATCGATGACTTGAAACAATCCCATCAAGAAGTTCATTATCTTTGATAAATTCTAGAAGGTTGTTGCATATGTCATCATCCAATCAA